AGGGTCAGTTTAGGGTTTAGTTTGGGGTCTGGGGTGCAGTTCAGGGTTTTGAGGTTCAGTTTAGGGTTTAGTTTGAGGGTCTGAGGTTTAGTTTATGGTCTCAGGTTCAATTTAGGGTTTAGTTTGGGGGTCTGAAGTTCAGTTTATGGTTTAGTTTAGGGGTCTCAGGTTCAGTTTAGGGTTTTGAGGTTCAGTTTAGGGTTTAGTTTGGGGGTCTGAAGTTCAGTTTAGGGTTTAGTTTGGCGGTCTGAAGCTCAGTTTAGGGTTTATTTGGGGGTCTGAAGCTCAGTTTAGGGTTTATTTGGGAGGTCTGAGGTTTAGTTTGGGGTTTTACAGAGTTTCTGCAGGTTTAATCCTTTGCCTCTCAGAGGACAAAACCAACACTGAAACAGCCCCCAAACCCACCACTGATCCAGGTTTTCTGGCAATTCCAAAGCCCCTTTGAGCCCAGGGATGGGAGTTGATTCCCAAGGGAAGGCAGGGATTGGGACTAGTGGCAAACTGAGGACAATCCCCACGGATTTCACCCCCCTATCACTAATTAAACAACTTTAAACAGTAGATCTACTGGTCCCATCTCACCCCCAAAGCCAAACTTTCCAGGAGGGGAGGGCAATTCCCAAGGGAAAACTTGCCAGGAAGCAACACCTTGGACCAGCACCTCCAAGAGCCAGAGGAGGGATGGGCAACACCCAACTGGAGCATCTTCCTGTGGGCAGGAAGGAGGAAAAACCCCAAAATATGGGGAGAATTGGGATCAAAGCACCCCCAGCGGGGTGTCAGGCCTGCACCCCAAAAAAGGGGATCCCCGATATTCCATTGGGGAATAATGACAGGGAACAAACCTGATGGGAGACACGCTGAAATAGCCCCAAAATTAACGTTTATCCAGGTTTTCTTGTAATTCTAAAGCCCCTTCGAGCCCAGGGGTGGGTGGTGATGGCAGGGATGGACTGGGGTTGGTGGCAGCCTGAGGACAATCCCCAGGGATTTCACCCCCCCTGTCACTAATTAATTATTATAGACCCATCATTAATTATTCCATTGGCTCCCAGGGCACAAAACTAATGAGAAACACACCGAAATAGCCCCCAAATTAACATTTATCCAGGTTTTCTTGCAACTCCAAAGCCCCTTCGAGCCCCGGGGGTGGGGGATGACGCCCAAGGGATGGTCCCTGATTCCCATGGATCCCATGGGGACACCAACCCAGCCCCCTGGATCCTGCAGGGACACCAACCCAGCCCCCTGGAGCCCCCCAAAGTCCCCCCTGACCCCCCAAAGTCTCACCTTCCGAGCGCTGCCGCTCTTGGGGCCGGGCAGGAGGACGAGGCCACCGGTCCTGTCCCCTTTCCTGGGGCCACCCAGGTTCTCCTCCTCGGGGGGCATCATCTCCAGGGGCGCAGCATCCACAGGGTGGGAGGGCTGGGCCCACAGCTGGGGGCTCCTCTCGACCCCACACGGAGATTTGGGGGCTCCTCTCGACCCCACACAGAGATTTGGGGGCTCCTCTCGACCCCACACGGAGCTTTGGGGGCTCAGTGACCCCTCCTTGGGCTGCTCTGGTTGTTCTGGACTAGACCCCAGTTCTGTCCTAGGTTTGGGGGGGGTTTTAAACCCCCTCTAGCCCCCTGCACTTCACATCTGGCCAGATGTGAACCCCAAAGCCCCTGCACAGATATCCCAGGGGGAAAAGGGGGGGGACACAAAACCCCACAGATCCCCTTTTTAAAGCTACCCCAGATGAGGTGGGGGAAAAGTTAAACCCTCCAAACTCCCCTAAATATTTAGGGGGGGAGTTAAACTCCTCTTGCAAGAGCTGCCCTAAAATAGGAGGGGTGTTTAAACCTTCCCAAACCCCCTTGTAAAGTTACCCTAAACTGGGGGGGAGAGGAGTTTAAACTCCCCAAAACTCCCCTTTCAGAGCTATCCTAGATGGGGGTGACCCCCCCCCAAACCCCCTTTCCAAGCTCCCCTAAAAGGGGGGAGAGGGTTCAAACCTCCAATAATTCCCCTTTCGGAGCTACCCCAGCTCGGGACGGGGGTCAAAGTCTCCCCAAACCCCCTTAGAGAACTATCCTAAACGGGAGGGGGATGTAAAATCCTCCCCCCTCGCCAACCCCCCCCGGCAGAACGACCCTAAAAAGGGGGAGAAGTTTAAAACCCCCAATAACTTCCCTAGTTGGGGTGCAGGGTTAAACCCCCCTCCCCTTGCAGAGCGACCCTAAAAAAAGGGGATGTTTAAACCCCCAATAACTCCCCTTACAGAGCTACCCCAGCCGCAGAGAGGGGTTAAACCCCCCAAAACCCATCTTGGGGAAGCTCTCTACAGGGGTTAAACCCCTTCCCCTTACAGACTCCCCCCAAAATAGGGTGGGAACCCCCCAAAACTCCCCCTTTCTAGAGATGCTCCAGCCACGGCGACCCCCCCCCAAACTCCTTTAAAGAGCCAAACCCCGACCCGCTCCGAACCCTCCAGCGTTCATACCCCACCTCGGACGCCCCCAAACTCCCGGCTCGGTGTCCCCGCTCGCCCCCGGAGCCCCCGGGCGGCCCCGCCGATCCCAAATCCCGGCGCGATCCCGGGGGCGGATCCCTCGCGGCGCGGGGGATAAGCGGGGCGGGGAGGGCGGGGCGTAACCCCTGGCCGGCCAATGGGAGAGCGGGATGCCGATGATTGACGGCGGCGCCGCCCAATGGGAGCGCGGAGAGGGAGGGGGCAGGACCGGAGGGGCCGTTGCCTGTGGCAACGGGGGGAATTAGAACGCGGGTGACGTCACCGGGGGCGGGGCTTGAGGCCACGCCCATGGGCGCAGCTGGGAGCGGCCCCGCCCCCCGCCGCACATCTGGACGGGCGTCCGTGCCCAACCCCCCTCTACCCCGGCCACAT